TCCCGTCCCCACCGTGTACTAGGCTGCCACGACGGCCACGTCGTGGCCACGCGTCGCTCCAGCGGTGATTTTCCCAAAGCGGGAAAACGTTCACACCTTTGAAATTGTCAGAGCGCGATCCACGCGGCAAAATTCGGACCGTCCAGGGTGTAACTGTTCTGTGGCATCGCGTGTTGCACGCGATGTCGATGTCGACCAATTCATCCAAAGGCCCACAACCAAGCCACGCGGCACAATCTCAACACTGTCTAGGTTCAATGAACCTAAAGAAACAATCAAGCGCGCCGATTGTAAGTCGGCGCCGATCTTCGGGCGCCCACGCTAGGACTGCCACGGTGGGCTTGGGAGATTCGAGTCGGCATGCTGTAATTTCGGTACTGAGAGGCTAATGTCGGCCCCAAGCCACGTAACACACGCCCATTCCACCGTGGAAAGGGCCTGGCTTACGCCCCTTCGGTGCAGCGCGAAGTAACATTAGCCATGCTTGGCACGTGGCACTTCGGGCAGTGCGCCGCCTATGCGAGAACACATGCACGGCGGCAGTAGCATAGGGGTGTGCGTGAAGCGCGGCAGCATCGGAGTCGCTCAGGACCATACCCGTCCGTGACCGTGCGGGCCTGCTCATTCCCATGTCCGTTCCTGCGTTTCTTCCTGCTCTCTCGTGCACTTCGAATTTCCAGCTGCCAGTCTGTCATCGCGCCTGTAGGTTACTCGGTTGCCGACTTGGTCAGTAGTAGTCGATGTCTACGTCTGCAGTTTTAGCGAAACATCGGTGCAAGTCGGCGACGCATGGCCAGAGGTCGCCCTAGAGCCCAACAGCCGCAACCCATTCCAACCCCCGCCGACTCTGTAGACGCCGACATCAAAGCGGAGCTGGAACGGCTCGAGGTCGAAGCCGAGTTAGACTCACTCGACCGAGAATTCGAAGAAGACCGCCGCGCAACTCTCCGGGCGTTCACCACACCCGTGACTCAGTACCGTCTTTGGTTTACCAACCCCCGCAATCTGGAGGTCGAACACGAGTTAGACGTTATTGAACGTTATCTAGAGGAAGACCGCCGCGCTACTCTTCGGTCGTACACCGCACCCGTGAATCAGTACCGTCTCTGGTTTACCGACCTCCGCATCGCACACGGACGACGGTAGAGCAACATACGTGCTGCCACATGGCCGACGTCGACATGACTGACGCTAGACCATCCACCGACCACAGTCCGACATCTATCGAGGAAGAGACGCTCCCCTTACTCTACGATCTTGACAAGCTGACGCAGATTCCAGAAGGGGAGTTCACCAAGGAGATTCCCCCACCGCCGATCGGGGAGTTTAACAAGAATAACAAACAGATTCCGACGCGAAATGGACGGCCAGGAACTTCGTCGGCACCGGCCGGCTCTGGAAACCAGGTTGAGGTCGAAGAGGAGGAGGATGGGGGGGAGGAGGAGGAGGAGGAAAGCGATGACGAAAACGACGATCGTCCGCCGCGTAGCACTAGTCAGCGCACCTTGGAAGAACGGCTCAGGCGGGAACTTGAATACATAGATGATCTGCTCGAACAGGACGAGGATGCCGACCAGGAGAATTTGTCGGTGCCGCGCGAACAGTGGAGGGCGGCAGACTTCGTCGAGGAAGACATGGTGTACGCGACCATCGACGTGCTCGTCTTGGACGCCCTACGCCACCTGCAAACCGTGGAGAGGAACACGCTGAGGCAGTACACCTCGTGGATCTATCACTACAAGAGGTGGGCGGCGAAGATGTTGAGGCAAATTCGCAACAAGCTTCCGCAGGAGTACAGGCTTAAGCACGTCGACGAGATAGGGCACTACATCCGGGACAACAAGAAGAAAAACTGGGACCAAGAGGCCGATGTCCCCCGGGCGTACGTGTGGCTGCACGGCCCTAGGGTCACCACGTCCCGGCTTCGCGCATACGTGAAGTACATGGTTCGGGAGTTGAAGCTCGATGCCGAGTCTAGCAAGGAGGGCGACAACGCCACAGGAACACAGCCTGTGCAATCTACAACGGTGCACACGCTCCTCGGGCGCATAAAGGCATGCCAGATGGCGGCGAGAGTGGAGGCGACGATATACCAGGAGACGGAGCTGAGCATCATGCGTGAGATATCGGTGGTCAGGTCGGAGGTGCGGTTCATGATCCGCACCAAGAACGAGCGGGACCTCAAGTGAGTTTTTGTTTAAACTCTGTCGACCACTCTCTTGTTGTCATGTACTGTGTCGACGTCTCCCTAAATGCCCCTTACCCTCGGCATTGTCGGCAGTAACTGCACCGATCGGCGTCGCGGAACCATTGGCGATACCTACACCGCAGAACAGTTCCGCCAGATCATGTTCAGGGTGCTGCCGACGTGGGCGGCCAAGGCTTGGAACCCGCGGGGTACGGGCCCGTCGCAGACGCTGTGGCGGTTTCTGTTGTTGAAGGTGCTCACGCTACTCTCCCACCATTCTCTCCTGCGCGGCGCAAGCATCCGCGAGATCACGATCCCCGACATATTATTGTACCGACTGGCGAGCACCTCGTTGGTGAACCCGGAGAACCAGCCGGTCGTCATGGTCATCGCTGCGCGGAACTCGAAGACGTCCAAGGATGCGCGTTTGCAGCAGAGCTACGCTGCGCGGCACCTCGAAGCGGAGTTGTGCGCCGTCGGCGAGACGGGCCTGTGGTTGCACTTCATCCTCGACCAGATCGGCCAGTTTCACGGCGTCCGCCTCATTCCGCCGGTGGACACCAGCACACGCGCGAGCTGGTACAAGAAGCACCTCTTCTTCGCCAAAAACGACACCGACCAAGGGGAGCTCTCTGCGGCAAGCCACCAACGCTGGACGCGGCAGTTGTGGGACAAAAACGGGGTCTTCTGCAAGAGGAACGTGCACGCCGCTCGAGCCGGAGGGGCCCAAGAGCTGGCCATCGACGGCACGCCGCGCGCCGAGATCGCGGAGCTGGGTCACTGGGCGCTCGACAAGATGACGCGAGCGTACATCACCGCCATTCCGGTGGGGGTGGTGATGAAGAAGGCCGGTTACTCTGGTTACAAGCAGGACTACTTCTTGGGCCGGAGCAGGGTGGAGCCCTCCGATAAGCTCTTGAAGCTCCTCGCCGAGCACATCTTCCCCGGCGTCGACGACATGCTGAAGACGGTATGTTAGTCGACGCCCTCGTATCCTTGTTTCCGAGTCGTGTTGCCGACAGTGTCTGAACTCCTAATACACGTGACGAATTGCAGGCGGAAGGGAAGGCTGCCGAGGGGTCCGACGCCGACAAAGCCGCGGTGCACTTCTGGCGCACACTCCAGATGCTGCGCCGCATCGTCGCCGAGGACCTAGCGGTGAAGCTGGTCCGCACACCATGGCACCCGTACGTCCAAGGCTCCCTGCTCTGCCGGATCCCCCTCTTCCAGCACTGGGCGAAACGGGTCGAGAGGGTCGACACCGAGACGATCAACAAGCGTCGGGACCCGACCCAAATTCAGGCAGAGGTAAGTCGACGACGAGCTGGATGTAGGGCATTCCAAACCACCTCGCGGCTAACGTCTTTGTCCTACCGCTGCAGGAAATCTCTGTCCGCATGGATACCGAGTACTACAACATATCCCTCAAGGCGAAGCTGACGAAGGAGATGGAGCGCGCCGCGAACGAGAAGATTGACTTCCTGGAGGAGCTCGAGAAGCGCGACGACACCATCGCGTCTCTCACCGCCGAGATAACCCGTCTCACCGAGTCACTCCGTGTGTCAGAAGCACGGAGAGTGCCGGAGGCCCCGCCGTGTGCTACCGCGCAAGCTCCCAGCGAGGGTGGCTCGGCGGATTCGGCCAACATGGGAGCCGGCGCCGACGGAGGGGACGACAAACCCCCGCCACCCCCACAGACGGACGAGGAGGCTAGTTACGAGCTCAACGTGGTACAACCGTGGCGGGAGGCCAAGACCGTGAGGGACGCCTGGCGCCTCTGGAACTCCGCCACCGCTAATGACACCCGTCGGCTTTGCGACAGGATCGCCGAGCCGGGGTTCATCGACCGCCACACCCTCCTCGCCGGCGCGACGCAGGGTGCACTCAACAAGAGGGTGCGCCGCATGCTGAAGGTCATGGATGCGGTGCGCCAGCTACGCGCGAGCGACGGCGACGCCGACACCGAGGCCGTGGTCGACACACTACACAGGATCGCGGCACCGGGCATCGGGACCTTCGCCGATGCCCTCACGGTGCTCAAACCGGGAACGGCACCGATGTTGTCCAAGGAGCCTGGCATGGGAGTCAAGGGGCTGGGCCCGAAGGTGGTCTCGAAGCTACGCCTCGCCTGTGCGCTTGTGGCGCTCAACCTGAAGCAGAGTGATTGGGTCGAAACCCTGTTTCCAGACACGTGGGAGGAGCAGATGCCGAAGACCAAGGCCGACCTGGCGAACCCGACGGCACCGGCCAAGTCGACAGCACCGGCCAAACCGACCGCTCCGGTGCACCGTCCTCCGACCAAGCGCAAGAAGTCGGCATGAGCGCGCTTGTAGGATATGCGTGTGCGTAGTTCGATGCTGTTAACTGTGGCAGACTTTAACCCCCCCCCCCCCCCCCCCCCCCCTTCCTTTTTTCAAATGCTGTTCTGGTAGCTTGTAACAACCCACTGCAAGGCCCTTGCGAACCTACTTGATCCCGCCGTGTTAAATGTAGTCGGTCGCTCATTACTAATCAAAACACAGATCGATGTCGACGTCTCGCAGGTTTGCATGTTGCTAGGCTGTCGATATGTACCTAGTCAGAGCTCGTCGCCAAGTAGCATGTTCTTTTTTATGTCGACAGATGCGCCGACAAGGCTCATCGTTCAAAGACGGCTAGCAAGTTTCAATGTGAACAGTAGGGTTTAGGGTCATCACAATGTGAAGCAAACAGAAACGAAGAATATTCGTGCCCTACGATCAAAAAGTCATTAGATTTACTACGACATCGGCGCCGACCATACCATAGCATCCCGCACACCACAGCCCGCCAACTACGCATCCGTACTGCCCTTGCCCTCCTTGCCCTTCTTCCTCTTGCTGCCCTTGCCCTGCTTGACCTTCTCCCCCTTCCTCCCCCTGTGATCCATATCGTACTCCATCTTCGCGTCACACGGCACATCGATGCCCTGCTCTTTTAGCTTGGGCCCGGCGACGGGGCACATTCCCCAGAACGCCATGGTCTCGACCGTCGCTCTGGCGATCATGTCGGCCTCGACTTCCTCAACTCCCTCCTCGAAGGCCCTGACCACTGCCTGGCGCTGCAGCGATGGCGCGACGTTATGGGCAACCTCCCCCGCGGGAGCCTGCCGACTGCGTGCTAAGTCGATCACCGCGTGCATCACCTTCTTGAATGCCTCGGCCCTCTCCTCCTCCGCACCTGCCACCATCGCCGCCGCCTTCCCTTCGCCCACAGCACCGAGCAACGACGCTCCCGTCTCCACAAAGCACCAGAGGGCGCATGCAGATGCCGCTAACGCCTGGGCCCCCATCTCCGTCTTCTCGTCCGCCTTCCCCTCCGCGCCTTCCATCTCCGTCTTCTCTCCCGCATTCCCTTCTACGCTCACGTCGACCTTCCTAAACGCCGCGCTCGCCGCAACTTTCCCATACGCCGCGCACATCGACACGCGATTTACCATCGCCGACATGAGAGCCTCCGTCTCCTCCTTGCCTTCCTCCGTGTTTTCGATGATGGGGAACCAGATCGCCGGCCAGAGCACCCCATGAAGCGCATCACCCGACCTCGAGTACCCACGGTACCTGCCGAGTATGTCGTCGATCCTGCCGCGCAAACACATTAAAACGACACCGACTTCAGCGTAATTGTCAGAGTTATATGACATAGCTACTGTAGGCTATAGTGGGGTAGCACATATGGGGTACAGTTGCCTAGGGTTTGCCTTTTGTACCCAACTTTCACTTAGTCATTTCATTCCTGTTTTCTTGATTCACATGGTATAGAGCGGGTTCCTACATGGGACCGTTCCTTCCTAAGGGCCCACCATAAGAATTTTTTTTTTTTAGCTGCCCGCGCACATTGCGCCCTGCCCTAAATTTTTTTTTTTAGCGGCCCCTACGCTGCCCCTACGCGGCCCCTACGCCGCCTCCCACGCGCCCCCTATGCGGCCCCTGGCGGCGCCCTGACGAGGCCCCTGCCGGCGCCCTATCGCGGCCCCTGACGCGCCCCCTGGTGGCGCCCTGACGCGGCCCGGACGCGGCCTGACGCGGCCCCTGGCGGCGCCCTGACGCGGCCCTGCCGCGGCCCCTGACGCGGCCCTGACGCGGCCTGCCGCGGCCCCTGCCGCGGCCCTGAAGCGGCCCCTGACGCGGCCCTGACGCGGCTCTGCCGCGGCCCTGACGCGGCCCTGACGCGGCCCTGCCGCGGCCCCTGGCGGCGCCCTGACGCGGCCCCTGACGCGGCGCCCTGACGCGGCCCCTGCCGCGGCCCTGACGCGGCCCTGCCGCGGCCCTGACGCGGCCCTGACGCGGCCTGCTGCGGCCCCTGCCGCGGCCCTGAAGCGGCCCCTGACGCGGCCCTGACGCGGCTCTGCCGCGGCCCTGACGCGGCCCTGACGCGGCCCCTGACGCGGCCCCTGCCGCGGCCCCTGGCGGCGCCCTGACGCGGCCCCTGACGCGGCGCCCTGACGCGGCCCTGCCGCGGCCCCTGACGCGGCCCCTGCCGCGGCCCCTGACGCGGCCCCTGACACGGCCCCTGTCGCGGCCCCTGACGCGGCCCCGCCACCTACCTTTCCGGCCACGCCGCCTCCTCTCAGCGGCCCCGCCGCCTCCTCCCAGCGGCCCCGGACGCCGCCCTCTCAGCGGCCCCGCCGAGCCGCCCAGCAGCCTAGCCGCCCAGCAGCTGAGCCACCGAGCCGCCCAGCAGCCGAGCCGCCGAGCCGCCCAGCAGCCGATCCGCCCAGCAGCAGAGCCGCCGAGCCGCCCAGCAGCCGAGCCGCTGAGCCGCCCAGCCGCCGAGCCGCCCAGCAGCCGAGCCGCCCAGCAGCCGAGTCGCCGAGCCGCCCTGCAGCCGAGCCGCCCGAGCCGCCCTGTCCGGTAAGAGCAGCGCCTCTCTCACAGCACTGCCCTCACCCCACTGTTTGCGCTGCTAGTCTACTGCTGTCATGGCTACCCCTAGTGTCCTCGCTTTTGACGCTGAGGGTCGGGCCATTGACTTTGACGTCTGGATAGATGACCTGCAGCTTTTCTTACAGTGCGATAGGGCAGACGGCCTCTCCCTCTTTGATCTCACTTCTGGTGCCTCTCCTGCCCCCGCCACTGATGCTGACGCAACTGTTCGCTCCCAGTGGGCCACGCGCGATGCTGCTGCACGTCTTGCTGTGCGTCGCCACCTGCCTACCTCTGAGCGTGCGCACTTTAGCCAGTACAAGAGTGCTCAGACCTTGTACGACGCTGTAGTTGCGCGCTACTCCTCCCCTACCACTGCTGCACTGAGCCGCCTCATGCTACCGTACCTCTTCCCTGACCTTGCTGCCTTTCCCACAGTCGCTGACCTCATTACGCACCTCCGCACTAGTGACACTCGCTACCGCGCTGCGCTTCCTGCTGAGTTCTGCGCCAAGAACCCCCCCCCCATGTACATCACCCTCTACTACATAGTCACCCGGCTCCCTGACTCCCTTCGCGTAGTCAGGGACCACTTCCTCTCAGTTTGCCCCACCACTCTCACCGTTGACCTCCTCGAGAAGTCCCTCCTAGCAGCAGAGAAGAGCATAGTAGCTGTAGGAGCCTCTCGTGGTGACCCTCGCACCCCCATCTTTGAGGGGTGTTCCCCCTCCCCCCTTTTGCCCTCTGTTGCCTCTCCTGCTGCGGCCGACCTCGTTGGGCTTGAGTCGGTCGGTGCGGCGTCTACCCCTAGCGGGAGACGCCGCCCTGGCAAGGGCAAGGGGGGCAGGGGCGCTGGAGGAGCTAGCGGGGGCGGTGGAGGCGGCAGTGGAGGCGGTGGAGGAGGTGGGGGTGGCGGTGGGGGTGGTGGCGGGGGTGGAGGTGTCGGTGGCGGCAGTGGAGGCGGAGGCGGCAGCGGCAGTGGCGGAGGGAGCGGAGGTGGCGGCGGTGGAGGAGGAGGCGGCGGAGGAGGTGGAGCTGGTCGGGGTGGCGCTGCGCAGAGGGTCGGCTCCGGTGGTGGTCAGCGCCAGCAGCAGCAGCAGCACCAGCAGCGCACTCGTGACATCCCCTCCCCTCAGCAGCTCCGTGAGTGGTACACTGCACGCCAGAGGGGTGGGGGTACTGGTCCGTGCACCTACGTCCTCCGCACCGGCGACCGCGCGGGTGAGCAGTGCGGGGGTGCGCACTCCACCCAGCGCTGCTTTGGCCGCCTGACGGACGCTTGGCGTCACCAGTTCCCTGAGGCCACTGAGATCCCCCGCTGGGGTGAGCTGTCTAGGGCAGGTGTGGCTGTCTTTGACCTTGACTTTGATGCTATTCTTGCTGCCATGTATACTGTGACTATTAGTGATGAGGGTGACTGTTACCGGTGTTTTCCGCCCGACCCGGGCATTGAGACTGCTGCTCTAGGTACTGGTGAGGCTGCTGCTCTAGGTGCTAGCGAGGCTGCTGCTCTAGGTGCGTCTGCTCCCTCAGGTGCTGGTGAGTCTGCTCTCTCAGGTTCTGCGTCGGCTTCGGCCTCCCACACCTTCACCCTTGACTCGGGGGCTTCTCGCTCCTTCTTTCGAGACCGCACCACACTCGCGCCGCTTAGCCGGCCAGTTGCAGTCTCTCTGGCAGACCCCTCTGGGGGTCCTGTCCTTGCTCACTTCTCCACTGTCCTCCCGTGTCCGGCGGCCCCCTCTGGCACCCTGTCTGGTCTTTACCTTCCCTCGTTCTCTACGAACTTGGTGAGTGGTGCTGACCTACAGGATGCGGGGGTTCACCAGTTCACTCCTGCGAGTCGGCGGGTGACCCACTGCACGGACGCTCGGACAGGCCGACACCTGGCCACGTTTACCCGTCGGCCGGGGTCAAGCCTGTACACCCTGACCACTGCGTCTCCTCCAGTCACTGCGTCTGGTCAGGTAGCTGCGTCGGGTCAGGTGTTTGCTGCAGCGTCCAGGTCTGGTCCTGAGTCTGCCCCCTGTTCGTGTCGCCTCCTGTCTCACGAGACTCTCCTCTGGCACCACCGCCTTGGTCACCCCTCCCTGCTTCGTCTCCGAAGCATGGCCTCCCGTGTCCTTGTCTCTGGTCTTCCCCGGTCCCTCCCTCCCCTTCCTCCGGGGCCTGGCCCTACCTGCGTCCCCTGTGTCGAGGGGCGGCAGCGGGCTGCCCCTCACTCCTCCCAGTTTCCTCCGACAGAGGCCCCGCTGCAGACGCTTCACATGGACGTGTGGGGCCCGGCCCGCGTCCGTGGACAGGGTCACGAGCGCTACTTCCTGCTGGTGGTTGACGACTACTCGCGTTACACCACAGTCTTCCCCTTGCGCAGCAAGGGTGATCTCACTGAGGTGTTGATCGACTGGATCCGCGCAGCTCGTCTCCAGCTCAGGCAGAGCTTTGGCTCGGACTTTCCTGTTCAGCGTCTGCACTCTGACAGAGGTGGAGAGTTCTCCTCTGGCCTTCTGCGAGCCTACTGTCGTGCACGAGGCATCCGCCAGACCTTCACGCTTCCGGACTCTCCACAGCAAAATGGGATTGCTGAGCGCCGCATTGGCATGGTCATGGACGTCGCCCGTACGTCCATGATGCATGCGGCTGCCCCCCATTTTCTGTGGCCGTTTGCGGTTCGGTACGCGGCGCATCAGATCAACCTTCACCCCAGGGTCTCCATGCCGGAGACCTCCCCAGCTTTGCTGTGGACGGGGAAGGTTGGCGATGCGTCTGCGTTCCGTGTCTGGGGATCTCGGGCGTTTGTCCGCGACTTGTCTGCGGACAAGCCGTCCCCTCGTGCTGCTCCTTGCGTCTTCCTTGGCTTCCCCCCTGACGCGCCAGGGTGGCAGTTCTACCACCCCACCTCTCGCCGTGTCCTGTCCTCCCAGGACGTCACGTTTGACGAGTCGGTCCCCTACTACCGCCTCTTCCCCTACCGCACTCCGTCCCTCCCCCCGCCACCGCTCTTCCTTGTCCCAGGTCCCCCCCCGGTAGACCCCCTCCCCCCTCAGGGTCCTGCCCCTTCAGGTGTGTCCCAGGTAGACGCAGTCGAGCCTGTCGAGGTTACTGGTGACTCTGGTGCTGCTGAGGGTGCTGAGCCTGGGGGTGCTGACTCTGGGGGTGCTGAGCGTGTGGGTGCTACGCCTGGGGGTGCTGAGCCTGAGGGTGCTACTACTGGGGGTGCTGAGCCTGAGGGTGCTGAGCCTGGGGTTGCTACTACTGGGGGTGCTGAGCCTGGGGGTGCTGAGCCTGGGAGTGCTACGCCTGGGGTGCTACGCCTGGAGGTGCTGAGCCTGGGGGTGCGGAGCCTGAGGGAGCTGGGCCTGCTCGTGTGGCGTCTGGCGGTGCTGAGCCTGGAGGTTCTCCGGGTGCTTCGTCTCGGCGGGAGCCACTCTCTCCACAGGAGCTGCGCGAGTGGTTTGCCCGGCGCTGGAGGCGTGCTGCTAGAGCTGGAGGTTCTTCGGCTGCTGAGGGTGCTGGTGCCGCGGGTCCCGGAGGTGCTCGTACTGGGAGTACTGGAGCTGCTGGGCCTGCGGGTACGACTGGAGCTGGAGCTGCTGAGGGTGTTGGCGCTGAGGCTACTGCTGTCGGTCCTGGAGGCGGTCCTGCTGGGGGTGCTGGAGCTGGAGGTACTGCTGGCGCTGGTGCTGCCGCTGGGGGTACTGGTGCTGTCCCTGCTGTGTCTGGAGTCGCCACACGGCCTAGGCCGTACTTCGTTCCGCTCCTTCAGCAGGTTCTTGGTCTCTCGCCTTCTACTGGTCCTCCTCCTCCCTTAGAGTGTCCACAGCCTGTCCCGTCACAGTTACAGTTACAGCCGGCCTCCCCACTGCCCGCTCCTTCTCCCTACACTGGTCCTACTGGAGGTCTTGCTGAGCGTCGTGAGCCTGCAACTCGCCCTGCGTCGCCTGTCCGTGCTGCTCGCACTAGTGCTCGTGGTTCGCGTCAGCGTCCTCCTCCTGTCCCTAGCACGCACCGGATGTCTCTGCGTCCGTCCACTGCTCCTCTGCGTGCCCCTTTGCCTTCTCCTCCTGAGTCCTCTCTTCCTGCTCTTCCTGACCCGGAGTCGGACTCTCTTCGTGCTGCCAGTCCTACTTTCACGCGTCTCCTTGCTACTGTTGTCACTGACCCTTCCTTTGAGTCCACTGCTGCGTCTGCCCTAGTTACTGAGCTCGTCGACTTTGCTGCTCGCTGTCGTCTAGACTACGCTGCTAGTCTTGTTGCTGAGTCTGAGTCTGTCTGTCCTCCGTCCGTCGGGGGTGAGTGTGCCCTTGGCACGGACGTCCTTGAGGACAGGCAGGAGGAGTTCCAGTGTTTGGCTGCTGCTTCACCTCATCTCGTGTCCGTACTGCTTACCCCTGAGGGAGACCCGGATGCACTTGACATCCCGACTCCGCGCTCTTACGCGGAGGCGATAGAGGGTCCCTACTCCTCTCAGTGGCAGGCAGCTATGGACGCAGAGATGGCTTCCTGGAAGTCCACAGGCACCTACGTTGACGAGGTTCCCCCGCCTGGGGCGAACATCGTCAGTGGCATGTGGATTTTCAGGGTGAAGCGGCCGCCGGGTTCTCCGCCTGTCTTCAAGGCGCGTTACGTGGCTCGTGGCTTCAGTCAGCAGCAGGGAGTTGACTACTTTCAGACCTTCTCTCCCACCCCGAAGATGACCACTCTTCGGGTACTGCTGCACATAGCTGCTCACCGCGACTACGAGCTGCACTCTCTTGACTTCAGCACTGCTTTCTTGCAGGGCAGCCTGCACGAGGAGATCTGGCTGCGTCGCCCACCTGGCTTCACTGGGTCTTTTCCTCCTGGCACCCAGTGGAGCCTCCGGCGGCCAGTCTACGGTCTCCGCCAGGCACCGCGTGAGTGGCACGACACACTGAGGACTACACTTGCGGCTCTTGGGTTTGCTCCCTCTACTGCCGACCCGTCGCTGTTTCTGCGCACCGACACTTCTTTGCAGCCGTTCTACATCCTCGTGTACGTCGACGACTTGGTCTTTGCCACAGCAGACACTGCTGGACTCGCCCACGTGAAGTCCGAGCTGCAGAAGAGACACACGTGCACAGACCTGGGTGGACTGCGCAGCTACCTTGGCTTGCAGATCACCCGGGACAGAGCACGCCGCACCATTACCCTGACTCAGTCACACATGGTGCAGCAGGTCCTTCAGCGCTTCGGCTTCACGTACTCCTCGCCTCAGGCCACTCCTCTGCCTACTCGCCACTCGCTCTCAGCTCTGCCTTCGGATGAGTCCGTAGAGTCGAGTGGCCCGTACCCAGAGCTTGTTGGCTGCCTCATGTACCTGATGACCTGCACACGACCTGACCTTGCATACTCTCTTAGCATTCTTGCACGCTATGTTGCTCCTGGGAGACACAGACCGGAGCACATGGCTGCAGCGAAGAGGGTGTTGCGCTACTTGTGCAGTACGTCGGGCATGGGGCTTGTGCTTGGAGGGCAGAGTCCAGTGGTCCTCACTGGACACGCAGACGCTTCTTGGGCTGACGACCAGGCTACGCAGCGGTCGTCACAGGGTTACACCTTCAGCCTTGGTTCCGGCTCTGTTTCGTGGCGGGCTACTCGCTCGTCTTCTGTTCTCGGCTCCAGTTGTGAGGCTGAGATCTACGCCGGGGCCATGGCTGCACAGGAGCTTCGCTGGCTCACCTACCTGCTGACTGACCTCGGAGAGCCGCCTCGTTCTCCTCCAGTGCTCTACGTAGACAACAAGGCCATGCTGGCCTTGTGTCGAGAGCAGAGACTGGAGCACAGAACGAAGCACATTGCTCTTCGCTACTTCCTTGCTCGTGAGCTACAGCAGCGTGGTCAGCTGCGACTTGCGTACGTGGCCTCTGAGGCCAACACTGCTGATATCTTCACCAAGGCACTTGCGCCTTGTGATCATCAGCGCTTCTGTACTCAGCTGGGTCTTGTACCTACCTTGCCTCACTTGCTCACCTCTTGACCTTGTTTGTACTGTTGCATATATATATACTCCTGCTCTTGCTTGTCTAGCCTTATATACATATGTAATCCTGCATGTGAACTGGCCTTGTGGCCTTGAACTTGTGCTCGGAATGTGTGGTGACTTTGTGATCCACCCTGAGCTTGCTTTGCTTTGCTTGACTGGTCTTGTGACCCCTTGTTCTCCCCCACTTTGCCTATGGGGGTGTGTCAGAGTTATATGACATAGCTACTGTAGGCTATAGTGGGGTAGCACATATGGGGTACAGTTGCCTAGGGTTTGCCTTTTGTACCCAACTTTCACTTAGTCATTTCATTCCTATTTTCTTGATTCACAGTAATGACACCGACATGGTCGACAGAACTCGGCGCGTCGGTATCCGTCTTACCTTGCTCTCGGATGGCACAAGCCTCTGGCCCACATCACCGTCCACAACCCAGTCGGTAAGAACTTGACCTCCTCCCACACCTCCTTCCATTTCTCCAACTCCCCCGGCTTCAAGACGGTGAGCTCCTTCATGAGCACCTTGCTCACGTAGCCGTCGTAGACGACGTATGCAATCGCGTGCTCGTAGGCCAGCTCCATCTTCTCCCTCGACTTGCCGATGTATCGATTCCGTCCGTTTACCTTAATCTCGCCCACCCACCCATGCCCGTCGCCGGACCTGTCTTGGCGGATGCCATGACCCCTGCGTTCTTTATCTCCCTCGCCGCCCTCCTCGTCATCCTCCTCCGCCTTCTCCTTCTTCTTCGCCGGCTTACCCTTGCCGCCCTTCTTGTCCTGACTCCCTTCCGCCTTCTTCCCTTTCTCTTCCGACATCTCCTTCCCCGCCGACATCGCCCGCGTGCTCCTCTGAGAGACCGCCCTCCCTTTCCCGGTGTCGACCTTCCCCTTCCCTCCCGCATTTCTCTCGGCGACAGCACCCGTTGCAGCCGTCGGCTCCGCCGATCCCCCACCGTGGGTCGCCGACGGCCCGACATGCGCCGTGTCCATGATGGCCAGAGCAGGGGCGTGCTCAAGGCGTTTTGCTGCATCAAAATGGGCCAGGACGGCAGCGAGTTCGGCATGCTTGTCGGCGCGGCCGCTGGTGGCTAGCGCTGCACTCACTCCCCTCTCCGCCGCCGCATCGACCACAGCTGCACCTGGTGAGGGTGCGGTCGCGTTTACCGACGTCGTCGTCGCGCTTTTGCCGTGTTCCTGCTGAGTCACCGGTGGAGCGGCCGCTTTGCGTCCGACTAAATGGGCGCGCAGAAATGCTGACTTGGAGTCCGCAGGCGGTGGGGCGGCGACCGGATGCGCTGCAGGTGGGGCCCCGGGCGATGTGCCGGCAACCTGCGGAGTGACGGAGCGACGTGCTGTTCCGGCAAGGCCGGCTTCGACCACGGGATGCTGCTGCACGTCCCTGCTATGTGCCTCCATGCGGCGGAGCATCTCCCTGAGCGCGTCAGCACCGGGGGGCCCCTTAGCTGATGCCGGAGCAGCGCCCTTAGCCGAAGCAGCCTTCGCGCCGCCCTTGCCGGCAGCCGGGGCTCCTGTAGCTGGAGGGGCCGCACGGGCCTCCCCATCTTTGGTCGCACCTGACTGGCCGGCAGGCGCGCTGGTAGCCGCAGGGGGGTTACGGGGAGGGCACTTGGTGGTGCCGGCGACCGTAGCAGAAGCAGCTTTCGCGTTGCCCTTGGCCACCACGGACGGTCCCTTGGTGGTTCCGGCGCCGCCATCTTCCGCCGCCTGAGCATTTGGGACCTCCTTGTCGGTCACGACTTTCCCACCGCTCGCCTGAGGATGGGTCTGCTCGGCGACCAAAGGTGGGCCTGGCTGAGCGGTGACGTTAGCCGCAACCCCGTCGGCAGGGCCACCCTCTGCCGTCCCGCTTCCGCCACCCTTGGTGTTCGACGTCCTTATCACCCTCCACCCCGCCTTCGTCTTCAGCTGGTCGTCCACGCTCTGTGGCGCAGGCTTCGAGCCGCGGCTCCCGTCCGATCCCTTGCTCCGCTTCGCGTCGCCCTTCGCGCTCTCCTTGTCGTCTCCGTTGCCCGTCCTCTTCAGGCCCTGCTTGTCGGCCGTCTTCCGTTGCGCGTGATCGGCGTCATTGGCCGACGGCGACGACCCACGTCGACCAGGCGCCACAGTGCCGACCATCTCGGCCATCATCTTCATCCCGGAAGCGACGAAAGACTGATGGGTGGCCTCCGTCACCGCCTTCATAATGTCGGCCTTGAACGACTTCAAGAGCTCTTCTGGGAGGGCGGGCGGCGTGGGCGGAGGCGGTGGCGGCGGCTGCACGGGGAGCCTGGTGGTCACAGCGGTGGCGATGTTGACCTGCGCGGCGGATAGTTGCGTCGTGATGTACAGCTCCAAACCCCGCTGCGCTTCGCCCACCACCCCAGTCACATGCTCGGCCAACGCGTCGACCGCTACCGCGTGTGCAACTGCCACACGACCCTGCGGGTTGTCGAAGTCCTCCAACCACGCCGTCGCCTGTTCCGCGAAGGTCTTCATCGTCTTCCACGCTTCGTCGAAGCTGCCGGTGATGTTGCCCGTGATTGTCTTCGACATGGCCGCCGTCGCGTTTCGCAGCTGTTCCGCCGCATACTTCTCGGTGTCGTCGACCTGCTCGGCCAACTCCTTCACGTGGTCGACGAGTCCACGTATCCCAACAAAAAACCTGTCCAGCCGAGCCTGCTCCGCATCGAGCAACGTCGCTAGCCGAGCGTTCTCCGCCCTCAACAGCCAGTTCTCCCGTCGCACCTGCTCGACGTCGTCCAGCTCATTACCCTGCCGACCAGAAGCGTCCCCCGTCTCCTGCACGCCCGTGGTGTTCGCCGCTTCGCCGGCGTCGACCGACACCTTCCCACCTTCGCATGCCGCCTCCTCCTGGCCCTTTTCCGTCATTGCCTCCACGCCGACCTCATCCTTCTCCTTCCCCCCATCCGCCGACCTCGTATCATTACCCGCATCGCCATCCTCCGCTTCCTCGTTCTTTTCATCCACCGACCCCACCGCCTCTACTGCAGCTTCCTCCTCTTCGAACTCCACCTCGTACTCCACCACTTCCTCCACCCCCTCCTCATCCTTCCCGTCCCCCTCCCCATCCTTCCCTTCCCCCTCCTCATCCTTCCCTTCCCCCTCCCCATCCTTCCCTTCCCCCTCCTCATCCTTCCCTTCCTCCTCCTCATCGCCGTCATCCTTCTCGTCCTTCTCCTCCTCCTCCTCGTCCTCCTCCTCGTCCTTCCGCTTCACCGCCTCGTCCTCCTCCTCCGCCTCCTCCTCAGACTCCGACTCCGACTCCGAATCCTCCTCCGACTCCTCCTCTTCCTTCCTTCCTCCGCCTGTCGCAGCGTTGCCTCCTCCACCACCGTTTCCTCCTTCCGCAGACACCCTCGCGTTCCCCTGATGCTGGGCGGCAACTGCTGCTTGGGGCGCCGTCTGTCTTTCCGCGCCGTCGTCATCAATTACACTGTCGGCGGGTTGTGATGTCGGCGCCGCAGAGCGTTTTTCGGCGATGCGCTTGCAGATGTACTCCACCATGCTGTCTCGCAACGACTTTAGCCCCTTTGTCTTGATGTTCTCGATGCTCACCGCACCACGACCCTTCTCGCCCGTCAGCAGGTCAACCTGCTTGGCCACCCACCCGAACGACGTCGCGGCAAGCATGCCGGTGCCGACCTTCTCGTCCGACACTGTGTCTGGCACTTTCTGCATACAACACCGGCAAGCGCAGAACATTGTGAGCGGAGCATACAGAAACGTGCACCCTCCTTAATGGATAAACGTGCAACGTGCAACTCACGTCGCGGATAGGGTGGTCGCAGTCGGCAAGCCTGTCCTCCACCACTGCTTGTGATGGCGGTGCCCCGTCCCACTGCCTACCGGGACGCCCCAGCTCGGCCAGGACTGCCGTGCGGAATAGCCTGGAGCATCGTGGTAAAGGGAGGCGGTCAGCATGTGATACCCTGGGTCGGCGACTAACAAGCGGGAAATCGACGACTATTCACAACTTACTTCAGCACGCGGATGGCCTCGTCGCGGTGCTTCAGTTTCCCGGTATGCGGGTCGATGTGCCGGATCGAGGTCCTGCAGACCTGTCCCTCAGCCTTCAGCAGATCTCCTGGGTAGAGGATGGCTATGACGCTGCAGTGTGACCCTGGAAGCGGACCGCCGCTGCACATGCAATACACGACGGCGTCGACCACAACATTAGGCGATGATGCGACCGACTAAACAAAATGATAACTGGACAACGGGGAAACAACTCACGTCGTGCGTAACGGGATGGCGGCGATGTCGGCGTCGAAAACCGTAGCAAAGCAAGAATGGTCTGCGGCCTTCAAGGCCGATCGAAGCGGGCCGACTCCGATTACCCACAACTTCTTGTCGTTCGGTTCATTGCGAAACCAAGCGTACCAGGGCGCACGAGTGGGCATGAGGGATGATGGGATGGCGGGTAAGCAAACGCAAACGCTACCAGATCGACGCTTGCTATGCCGACCGACGTCCATGGACGGGGTCGCGACAATCTGCGACAATCCGCCCCCGACGGCGCCGACATATACTTTATGCGCCCATCTAGAGGAAGTCGGCGCCGATATCTGCCCTATTCTCCAACCGCGACTACTGGAGTCCCACCTGATGGCGAATCCCAAGCATCTGTCGGTGAACTCTCTCTTCTGGTCACGAAGGGCGGCGAAGTCGTCCCACTCGAAGGTGAAGCTGAGACCGCGACCCATTCGGTGTCTAAGGGGAAAGTCAGCCCAAGTCGGCGCCGACTTCTCGGCGTCGGGGATCGGCTCCATATCGACTAAGGGAATACTAGGACGGCTAAGGTACGATAGCACGGATCTAGGGGGAGGCGCAGAGCTGTCTGGGAAAATGAGAAAAGGAGAAAATGAGGAGCGAAGCCACCTTCCACAATGAAAAGGGGGTGGGGCCGTTCAGCATCGCCCAAGGGTGTGGGGCCTGGCTCGGCAGGGCTCGGAGGGCGCATGCGCTAGTGGCACAGGTGGTCCGTCTCCGCCCTGGCAGAGCGACGACCTCGCGTCCATTGGCCCAGGTCGGCGAGGGGACGCACAACTCGCATGCGCGCGGAGCGTCGCTAGGTCCGACACGTGTCGATTTTCGTAGCGGATCGCGGTGGTAGATGCGAGATGTTTTAATTTCGCATCGTCCGAAATTTCGCATGCGCGCGCTGCGAAGCCACGGGCGAACACGTGGCGCGACCGCAACGGGTCGCGAAATTGTCGAGTGTCCCGAGGGGGCCCCGATTTTTCGCCTGGCCCTCGCCTGCCCGTCCGGTCAGGCCGCGATGGGTTACTAGGACCTCGCGGGCAGGTGGCACGTGTGGGCTGCCTTCGCGCGAGGGTAATTTTCCCACGCGCGAGCTGTCGCCAGTTCGCCGACCCCACCCGGTAACGTGGGCCGCTGTTCACTTTCGGAGCGGCGGTCGTGCGCTCGGCCCAGCCCTGGGCCAGGCTGGCGGGCCCGCACGCGCGTCAGTCGCCCGCCTCGTCAGCCCTCGCTCCGACGACCCCCCTCGACGACGCAGGCAACTCGGCTCCGACGACCGAATTCCGATGAGGCTTTCGGTAAAACAACGCGCGCGAAGTTGGCGAAGCCCAGTTAGCAGTAACGGGCAAACAATGGTTTCTGCTGTACGCGATGTTGATGGTCGCGTAAAATTCCTTACAAGATGCAAGGAATGCTGAAAATATCCTTGGCTTTACATGTGTTCTGGCACACATTCGCCGACTCGACTTTACTCCCCCATTCCTCCTTGCAATGCGGGGATTGCTGCGCGTTGCTCCGCCACGCCTGACTCGCATGATTGCGCCACATCGCGCGTCCGCGTCAACTCTTGCTTCCGGTGCTGCTGCCACCGCACTTAACCCCTCTGTTACTGCCGCAGCTCCCCCATTACGAGCCGCTCATGCTCTGCCGCGCAAGTGCCGCGTAGTCCTCGTTTGCCCCCGTTACACTGCACCTCCTCGCATTAGCCCAGACCGATCAGTCCCGACCGCCGGTGGAAAGACGACCAGAGAGTCGGCTAGCAGTCATTTTACCTCATCAGAGAACAACCTCTCACCTTCTTCCAGTTCATCGGTCGGGAAGGCGCAGCGCTCGAGAACCAGGCGGCTAGCCGTTAGCATGTCTGCCGGCGCGAGTGATGCGGGCCCCGTTAGACGCACAACAAGCGCCGATAATGAGCCGTCGCTTGGCGGAGGGGCCGCGGAGGGCGTAGAGGCGGCGGAGCGAGGAGGAGGGAGGGCTGGCGACAGCGTGGGGAAGGATGGGGTGGGGCGAGATGGCGCGGGGAACGATGGCGCGGGGGGTGACGAGGAGACGCGGCGACGACTAATGCAGTCGGAGCTGCTGTTTGATGTTGGGGAAGACAAGGTGAGGGCAGTGACAGGGGAATAGAAGGTGAAGTGGGGGGGGAGGAGAGATGGCGAGAGGGGGGGGGAAGAAGAAGAAATGGTGAGGGGGCGCTGGGGGTGAGAAGGCGAGGGAAGGTGGGGGGGCGGGGAAAGATATGGCGAGGGGCCGGGGGAAGAGAAGCCGAGGGGCGAGGGGGAAGAGACGGTGAGAGAAGGGGGGGAAGAGAATTTGAGAGGGAGGGGGGAAGAGACGGTGAGGGGGGCCGGGGAGAGAAGGTGAGAGGCAGGGAGTGTGAAGGGCAGAGGTAGGCGGGAGGGGAGGAGTCTGAGCTGCAGTCTACTGGACAAGGGTCCCTGAGGAGAGAAGGGGGCGGGTGGGAGGTAGGAGGCTGGGAAAGATGGGGGTGAGGAGATTGGGGACGGGCGATTGGGTTGATGAGATAGAGGATGGGGAGTTGGGGGTGGGTGAGGAGAGGAGAGTGGGGTGGGGTGGGACGAGAGTGATGGATAAAGGTCGGTTGTTTCTCGGCAGCTGGGCTGGGTTCACATGACATTTTCAGTGTGAAGAGGGGGCTACCTGGGGGTAGAGAGGCAAGGTGGGTTGTGGGTGAGGCAGGGTCGGTCGGGGGATGTCACGCAGACCTGTTGGAGTGGAGAGCATCTGAGCATCACAACATGCGCTTCACATGACCTTCCCCTGCATGCGCATTTGCCCGTGCTCCCTTTGCCCCTGTGCTGCCGTGTGCTGCCATGTGCTGTCTTGGCCTTCACTCCCTGTGCTGCTCTGTGCCGCCCTGTGCCGCCCTGTGCCGCCCTGTGCCGCCCTGTGCCGCCTTGTGCCGCCTTGTGCCGCCTTGTGCTGCACTGTGCCCCCCTGTGCCGCTCTGTGCCGTCCTGTGCTTCCCTGTGCCGCCCTTTACTGCCCTGTGCCGCCCTGTACTGCCCTGTGCCGCCCTGTACTGCCCTGCGCCGCCCTGTACTGCCCTGTGCCGCCCTGTACTGCCCTGTGCCGCCCTGTGCCGCCCCGTGCTGTCCCTGTGCGAGGCAGGGACCACTGGTGTACTGCGACGAGTACAACGTGCGCCTATTTGGCATTGAGAAGCTGTGAGTGCGCCTATTTGGCATTGAGAAGCTGTGAGTGCGCCTATTTGGCATTGAGAAGCTGTGAGTGCGTCTGCCTCGTCCTGCTGCCACCACATCGCTCACCCGCCGCCCCACGTGCCGACGCACCATGGGACTCATACGGCCCCGCACTTGACTTCTCTCCTCTCTGCTCTCTCCTTCTCTTTCCCAGCCCTCCCTCCTCCGAACCCCTCCCTCTGGCATCGCCTCCTTTTTGTTTCTTGCCTCCATTCCTTCCTTTCCCTCTGCCTCCCCACCTCGCTCTGTGCTCCGCTGCCTCTGTCTTGTCCTCCTCCCCACCCCCCCCCCCCCCCCCCTTTTCCCGCGCCCCCCCTCTCCTCCCTCCCCCCCCCCTATCCTCGCCGTTCCCTGTGAAGGCCCTTCACTTCCTCCCGCTGGCCCATCTTCCCTGTCACAAACTCCCTGCCTTACACCTTTTCCAACTGCTTCCCTTTCTCATCCTCTCCACTTCCTCTCTCCGCTCCTCTCCTCCTTCTCGTTCCCTCCTTCGAACGCGTCGTCTTACTCTCGTAAGTACTCCATCCAATCACACACGCCTTGCATTGCATCCCGCATCCCTCCACAACCCCCCCTCATCTCATCCTCACCGAAATCAAGTCTCTTCTGAAGATTCTCAGAGGTGACTCACTCACACACCTTGAATTTATCAAACCACAGGGCCCCCCTACTCTCGCCTCCTCCCCACCCTCTCCCTCTGTTCCATCTCTTTTCCCTTCCCCGTCTCGCCCATCAGGCATCCCTTTGATTCGGGCAAGTGGGGGCGCATCGTGCACTTTCTCATAGAAGAGGGGTGCATACAGCCGCACCAGGTGGTGCACCCTAGAGCTGCTTCCAACGACGACCTGCTGCTGGTGAGCGTGACTGACTGCTGCTGCTCTTGCTGCTACCCACCTTTATTGCACCTGCGTTGCTGTCTGATGGGCTAGCACAGCACCACCAGGGCCGCATGCCACCACCAGGGCCGCATGCCACCACCATGTGGCGCGTGCGCATCTCTCAACTGGTGGCCTGCCCATGCTCACAAAACGCTGCTGCTGCTGGGTTGGGTTGGGGTGTCTCTAGCTGTTTTTTGGCTCATAGTAGAAGGGCAGAGACTGCGAGAAGAGCTCGTGCCTCTAGATGTTTGCCCGCGCTCGAGCTTGCTGCGACTGTGGTGTCGTGTCGAGCTCAGTTGAGCTGCTCAACTGCGGATTGTTCAACGTCGTCAGTGTTTAGAAAGCACCCCGTGTCAACTGACGGTTGGGTGCTTTCTAGAACCCGTGTCACTTAGAAGGTCGGTTGAATCCCTGTGTCAGACAGACCTTCTGTTGTCGAGCTCAACTGCGGATTCAACCGACCTTCCGTCCATCATGCTGTTACCGTCCTGTTCCCAGTGCCTCCCCTTTCCGCATTGCGTGAATGCTTTTTCTATGCCGCCTTGCAATCAGGTGCATTCTCAGGAGTACCTGGACAGCCGTGTGAGCATGTCAGTGACCTTCCATGCCGGTCCACGCTCTTCCCAGTGAGGCCTTTCTCCGCGTTGCATGAATGCTTCCCATACGGCCATGCCCCATCAGGTGCATTCTCAGGAGTACCTCGACAGCCTGCGAAGCAGCTTCAATCTCGCCACCATTGGGGAGGTGAGAAGTGTGGTAGTTGGGAGGCGAGGAGGAGTGTGGTAGTTGGGAGGCGAGGAGGAGTGTGGTAGTTGGGAGGCGAGGAGGAGTGTGGTAGTTGGGAGGCGAGGAGGAGTGCCACGGGGACGGGGGATCGCGCGTGAGGGGGATGGATGTTTGGTCACGCGAATCAAGGTGCTTCTTTGCTTGCTTTCTTGTGTTGCATGCCAACTGGGTTGTCTGATGTCTCGGTTCGAGGATATGCTTTGAGGGAGTGTGAGTTGCTGCATGGCATGCGCGCGAATTGCTGGCTGGTAAATTACTTCTGAGAAATTTCAAAAGTCATTTTGAGTTGATAGCTTCCTGAATCCGCCTTGTGAAACGTCTCCCACCTCTCCTGCTTCTACCAAATCCCCAATCTCCTAATCCCCTTCCTTCCTCTACTTCTCCCGCTTCCCCCCCACCCTGCTTCTCTCCCCCTCACCGGTGCCTCCTCTCCTCCAGCTACCCCCACTGGCCCTCTTCCCCAATTTCATCCTCCAGCATCGAGTTGTGCGCCCCTTCCGATACCAGGCAAGGTGATGGTGATGGTGATGGTGATGGTGATGGTGGGGGTGAGAGTGGGGTGTGGGTGATGGTGGTGGAGATGGTGATGGGGTCGTGTAGTGGTCAAGCAAAGCTGGTATGAAATCTCTTCCTCTGTTCTGCTCTGCGCCTCTCAACTCGTCCTTCCTCCAGTAACCCGCTCGGGGCAGGTGGGGGTGGGGGGCAGTGTGCTGGCGGCAAGGCTACCAGTGTTGAGGGATGCGACGCAGCACCATCTCCTTTCCTTACCACCTCTTTTCCTTACAATATCCGTTCCTTACTGTCCTCCTCTTGCCTTTCGTGTCGTCCCCTCTCCTCCTCTCTCCACGACTCACCCTTTCCGTGCCTTCTCTCCCAGCAGGTGGGGGGCAGTGTGCTGGCGGCCAAGCTGGCAGTGGAGAGGGGAGCAGCGGTGAACGTGGGGGGGGGGTTGCACCACTGCAGCCGCCACACGGGCATGGGCTTCTGTGCCCTCGCTGACATCTCCGCCATCATCACCTTCGTCCGCGCGTTCCTGGCTGTAAGGAGGTGAGTCATACGAGGACGCGTTGCTGGGAGTCAAGAGGTGCGTTGCTGGGAGTCAAGAGGTGCGTTGCTGGGAGTCAAGAGGTGCGTTGCTGGGAGTCAAGAGGTGCGTTGCTGGGAGTCAAGAGGTGCGTTGCTGGGAGTCAAGAGGTGCGTTGCTGGGAGTCAAGAGGTGCGTTGCTGGGAGTCAAGAGGTGCGTTGCTGGGAGTCAAGAGGTGCGTTGCTGGGAGTCAAGAGGTGCGTTGCTGGGAGTCAAGAGGTGCGTTGCTGGGAGTCAAGAGGTGCGTTGCTGGGAGTCAAGAGGTGCGTTGCTGGGAGTCAAGAGGTGCGTTGCTGGGAGTCAAGAGGTGCGTTGCTGGGAGTCAAGAGGTGCGTTGCTGGGAGTCAAGAGGTGCGTTGCTGGGAGTCAAGAGGTGCGTTGCTGGGAGTCAAGAGGTGCGTTGCTGGGAGTCAAGAGGTGCGTTGCTGGGAGTCAAGAGGTGCGTTGCTGGGAGTCAAGAGGTGCGTTGCTGGGAGTCAAGAGGTGCGTCAATTCTTGGTGTGGATCTGGTCTGGACGCGCATCAGGGTCACCTGTTTCATCTCATCTCATCCCCTCCGCCCTCTCTTCACTCTCCCTACACACCACTATCCCTCTCCTCGCCTCGCCAGAGAGTGCTGATAGTGGTACTGTACGCACATCACAGTGACAGGTTTCATCCTCTCTCCTCTCCTTGTCCCTCCAGCCCTCCTTCTCACCATTCCTCCTCACCCTCTTCGCCCTCCCCAGCCCGCCAGAGTGCTGATAGTGGTCCTGGACGTACATCAGGGTGACATGTTTCATCCTTTCCTCTCCTCCTTCCCTCTCCACCCCCCCCCCCCCCCCCCCCCTTCCCCACCAATTACCTTCCTCGCGCCTCTAGAGTGCTGATAGTGCATCTGGACGCACATCAGGGTGACAGGCTTCAACCCTTTCTCCCTCCCTCCCTCTCCACCCCCCTCTACCACCATTGCCCCCCCTCGCCCTCCGCACCGCACCAGAGTGCTGATAGTGGATCTGGACGCACATCAGGGCAACGGGCACGAGACCGACTGGATGGGCGATGGTGCGCGAGGGGATGGGCGATGGGTGATGGTGCGAGGGAGAGGGGATGGGCGATGGGTGATGGTGCGAGGGAGAGGGGATGGGCGATGGGTGATGGTGCGAGGGAGAGGGGATGGGCGATGGATGATGGTGCGAGGGAGAGGGGATGGGCGATGATGGGTGATGGTGCGAGGGAGAGGGGATGGGCGATGGGTGATGGTGCGAGGGAGAGGGGATGGGCGATGGATGATGGTGCGAGGGAGAGGGGATGGGCGATGGGTGATGGTGCGAGGGAGAGGGGATGGGCGATGGATGATGGTGCGAGGGAGAGGGGATGGGCGATGATGGGTGATGGTGCGAGGGAGAGGGGATGGGCGATGGGTGATGGTGCGAGGGAGAGGGGATGGGCGATGATGGGTGATGGTGCGAGGGAGAGGGGATGGGCGATGGGTGATGGTGCGAGGGAGAGGGGATGGGCGATGGATGATGGTGCGAGGGAGAGGGGATGGGCGATGGGTGATGGTGCAAGGGAGAGGGGATGGGCGATGGGTGATGGTGCGAGGGAGAGGGGATGGGCGATGGGTGATGGTGCGAGGGAGAGGGGATGGGCGATGGGTGATGGTGCGAGGGAGAGGGGATGGGCGATGGGTGATGGTGCGAGGGAGAGGGGATGGGCGATGGGTGATGGTGCGAGGGAGAGGGGATGGGCGATGGATGATGGTGCGAGGGAGAGGGGATGGGCGATGATGGGTGATGGTGCGAGGGAGAGGGGATGGGCGATGGGTGATGGTGCGAGGGAGAGGGGATGGGCGATGGGTGATGGTGCGAGGGAGAGGGGATGGGCGATGGGTGATGGTGCGAGGGAGACGGGATGGGCGATGGGTGATGGTGCGAGGGAGAGGGGATGGGCGATGGATGATGGTGCGAGGGAGAGGGGATGGGCGATGATGGGTTATGTTGCGAGGGAGAGGGGATGGGCGATGGGTGATGATGGTGCGATGATGGGTAGTGGCCAATTTGTCATAGTAAGGGTGGGCTATGGTTGATGGTGCGAGGGAGGTGAGGAGAGAATGGGTGATTGGTGACGTTTGGGACTTGTCAAAAGCGATGGTAGATAGGCGGCATGCGATGGGCAGCACTGGGCTGGAATGGGGCGGCATGGCAGTGGCACAGGGATGGGATTGGATGGGGATGGAAAGTTGAAGCTGGAGAGCCGCTATCTAGTTGTGCCGAGCACCTCCCCCGATCATGCTCCGCTGCTTTCACCCCTTAATGATGCTCCGCTGCTTTCACCTTAGAGACTGCTCAAATTTGTTCCTTGCCTGTTTTGCTATGCCAGTCATTGATTCATCCGCCCCCTCATGCTCCATTCTGCCTCTCCTTCCTTCTTTCTCCGTTTATCATTCCTTCTCCTGCCCGTACCTCCTTCACACCTCCCCTCCTCACCCCGGTTTTCCCGCGCTCTTACCATCTCATTTCCACTTACCCTCCTTTCCCCATTCTCCCCTCCCCCAACTTCTCTCCCCCATCTCCCTGCCTCCCTCTGCACCCCTCTCCACCCCTCCCAGCCGACGTGTTCATAGTGGATGTGTACAATGCGGCCATCTTCCCACGGGTCAGTGCTTACAAGCAGGGCGCCTGGGGTATCTGGGGGTTTGTGAGGCATCTCGAAACAAGTCTGAGGCACCGAAACAGTGCATAGTGGACGTGTATAATGCAGCTATCTTCCCACGGGTTAGTGCTTACAGGCAGGGTGCATTGGGGTACCTGGGGGTATTTGAGTTGCGTGAACAAATCTGAGGCGCGTTAACGATTTATAGTGGATGGATGTGTGCAATGCGGTGCGGCCATCTTTTCAGGGGTCAGTGCATGCATGCAGACAGGGCGCCTAAACAGTTGATATTAGATGGATGTGCACAATGCAGCCATTTTCCCTTGGGTCAGTGTATGCTGGACGCGCTCCGGTGCGCCAAAAGAATCCTTTTGTCACCATCCCATGCGCCATGTCACCATCCCATGTCGCTATGTCACCATCCCATGCGCCATGTCACCATCCCGTGTCGCCATGTCACCATCCCATGTCACTATGTCACCATCCCATGCGCCATGTCACCATCCCATGCGCCATGTCACCATCCCATGCGCCATGTCACCATCCCGTGTCGCTATGTCACCATCCCATGCGCCATGTCACCATCCCGTGTCGCCATGTCACCATCCCATGTCGCTATGTCACCATCCCATGCGCCATGTCACCATCCCATGCGCCATGTCACCATCCCATGCGCCATGTCACCATCCCAGGTCGCTATGTCACCATCCCATGCGCCATGTCACCATCCCGTGTCGCCATGTCAACATCCCGTGTCGCCATGTCACCATCCCGTGTCGCCATGTCACCATCCCGTGTCGCCATGTCACCATCCCATGCGCCATGTCACCATCCCGTGTCGCCACGTCACCATCCCATGTCGCTATGTCACCATCCCATGTCGCTATGCCACCATCCCATGTCGCTATGTCACCATCCCATGCGCCATGTCACCATCCCGTGTCGCCATGTCAACATCCCGTGTCGCCATGTCACGGCAGGATCATCAAGCCAAGGCGGCCATTCACATTGCCAAGGAGCTTAGAGTGAGTGTGCCTTGGATTCGGTTCATGTGGGGCTCAGGAGTTGAGCACCGAGCAGCACGGGGCCATCGTGGGTAGGTCTTGCTGCTTCATGTGCATTTCTCCACCATGCCTTTTTTTATGTGCACCATGCACGCACCACACACCATGCAGCCTATGCCCTGCATTGATTGCTGCACGCCTGCCTCTCCCACTGGCCCTGCAGAGTGGCACGGGCACCACACAGTATCTGGATGCTGTGGCGCAGGCTCTGCACGAGGTGAGAGACAGGGGAGAGGTGAGAGACAAGGGAGGAAGCGAGGGACAGGGGAGAGGTGAGAGACAAGGGAGGAAGTGAGGGACAGGGGAGAGGTGAGAGACAAGGGAGGAAGTGAGGGACAGGGGAGAGGTGAGAGACAAGGGAGGAAGTGAGGGACAGGGGAGAGGTGAGAGACAAGGGAGGAAGTGAGGGACAGGGGAGAGGTGAGAGACAAGGGAGGAAGTGAGGGACAGGGGAGAGGTGAGAGACAAGGGAGGAAGTGAGGGACAGGGGAGAGGTGAGAGACAAGGGAGGAAGTGAGGGACAGGGGAGAGGTGAGAGACAAGGGAGGAAGTGAGGGACAGGGGAGTGGTGTTAGATCAGGGAGGACGTGAGAGACATGGGAGAGGTGAGAGACAAGGGGGGAAGTGTGAGCGGCATGGGAGGAGGTGAGCGGCATGTATTGTGGTGATAAGTGGCTAGCAGGCGTGAAGCAGTGCTGTCGCACAGGCATGCGCAGGAGGTGAGTGGTACGGGAGAGGTGAGAGGCATGCGCAGGAGGTGAGAGGCATGGGAGGAGGTGAGAGGCATGGGAGGAGGTGAGCAGCATAGATTGTGGCGTGTTATCTGGCTTTCCCCGGGCACAGAGTAGTATCTTGATGCGGTGGCTGAGGCATTGCTGCAGGTGAGAGGCATGGGAGGAGGTGAGAGGTGAGGGGGTAGGGCGAGGGGCACAGTGCAGTGAGCATCGCCCACCAGCAAGTCTCCACATCTTCCATGCCATCCTCCCCACTGACCCTCTACCCTCTTCCCCCTCCTCCCTCTTCTTCCCCCTTCCTTTCTCCCCCCGCTCCCTCTCCCTCCCCCTGCCTCCTCCCCATTCCACCGGACCCCATATTTCGTGTCTCTCCTGCCCTCCCCCCACCTGCTCCGCGGCACTCATGCACCTCCGCGGCACTCATGCACCGCCTGCACCCATGGCAGGTGGCAGCAGCAGCCTTCCACGCGGATCTACTCATCTACAACGCCGGCACCGACATTCTCACCAACGACCCTCTCGGTAGACTTGCCGTGAGTGCCACGAGGGGTGGTGGGAGCAAGGAGGATGGAAAGGTTCTGGCTGTATGTACAAGGGTAGTAGTGTTTCTTTAAGAAGCTGTAGTGAGCGTTACTACTACAAGAAGCAATAGCAAGTGCTCCCATAGGATATAGTGGATGTGTCTGTAAGAAGCTACTGAGGCCGTTTCTTTTAGATGTTATAGTGGCTGATGACTTTGCAGCTGTGAGTCTTAGTGCCCTGTTGCCCCTTTTCCTCTTCTGCACCCCCTCATCACACTCCTCTCGTTTCATGCATCTCACACTTACTGCCTCCATGCATGCAATGCAACCAACATCCCTCTCTTGCTCTCGCTTGCTCTTTCTCCCTCACTCTCCATCTCTCTCCCTCTCGCTCTCTCCATCTCTCCATCCCTCTCCCTCTTTCCTCTTTCTCCCTTTCTCCCTCTCTCTCCCCCTCTCCCTCTTTCTCTCTCCCTCTCTCCCTCTCTCCCTCTCTCCCTCTTTCTCTCCCTCTCTCTCTCTCGACCACATCCATGTGTGTGTGCATGGCATGTGTAGAAAGTGCATTTTTAAGACGTCTCAAAAATGCACTTTCTCCCTCCCTCTCTCTCCCGCGACCACATCCACATGTGTGTGTGGCACGGGGCCGAGTGAGCAGGTGTCAGCGGAGGGAGTGCAGAGGCGGGATGAGATGGTGTTTCAGTTCGCTAGGAGCCACTCCATACCCATCCTCATGCTCACCTCCGGTAGGCCGAGCAGCAGCGGTACCCTTCCCCTCATGCTCACCTCCGGTACCCTCCCCCTCATGCTCACCTCCGGTACCCTCCCCCTCATGCTCATAAGTTGTTAGCAATCATGTTGGCATCCATGCCCTTACTGGTGTTGCCTGCATCACCATGCTGCTGCCATCACCGTGCTGCTGCCATCACCGTGCTGCTGCCATCACCATGCTGCTGCCATCACCGTGCTGCTGCCATCACCATGCTGCTGCCATCACCGTGCTGCTGCCATCACCGTGCTGCTGCCATCACCATGCTGCTGCCATCACCATGCTGCTGCCATCACCATGCTGCTGCCATCACCATGCTGCTGCCATCACCGTGCTGCTGCCATCACCATGCTGCTGCCATCACCGTGCTGCTGCCATCACCATGCTGCTGCCATCACCATGCTGCTGCCATCACCATGCTGCTGCCATCACCGTGCTGCTGCCATCACCATGCTGCTGCCATCACCATGCTGCTGCCATCACCGTGCTGCTGCCATCACCATGCTGCTGCCATCACCATGCTGCTGCCATCACCGTGCTGCTGCCATCACCGTGCTGCTGCCATCACCATGCTGCTGCCATCACCGTGCTGCTGCCATCACCGTGCTGCTGCCATCACCATGCTGCTGCCATCACCATGCTGCTGCCATCACCGTGCTGCTGCCATCACCGTGCTGCTGCCATCACCATGCTGCTGCCATCACCATGCTGCTGCCATCACCGTGCTGCTGCCATCACCGTGCTGCTGCCATCACCATGCTGCTGCCATCACCATGCTGCTGCCATCACCGTGCTGCTGCCATCACCGTGCTGCTGCCATCACCGTGCTGCTGCCATCACCGTGCTGCTGCCATCACCATGCTGCTGCCATCACCATGCTGCTGCCATCACCGTGCTGCTGCCATCACCGTGCTGCTGCCATCACCATGCTGCTGCCATCACCGTGCTGCTGCCATCACCATGCTGCTGCCATCACCGTGCTGCTGCCATCACCATGCTGCTGCCATCACCATGCTGCTGCCATCACCATGCTGCTGCCATCACCGTGCTGCTGCCATCACCATGCTGCTGCCATCACCGTGCTGCTGCCATCACCGTGCTGCTGCCATCACCGTGCTGCTGCCATCACCGTGCTGCTGCCATCACCGTGCTGCTGCCATCACCGTGCTGCTGCCATCACCGTGCTGCTGCCATCACCGTGCTGCTGCCATCACCGTGCTGCTGCCATCACCGTGCTGCTGCCATCACCATGCTGCTGCCATCACCATGCTGCTGCCATCACCGTGCTGCTGCCATCACCATGCTGCTGCCATCACCATGCTGCTGCCATCACCATGCTGCTGCCATCACCATGCTGCTGCCATCACCGTGCTGCTGCCATCACCGTGCTGCTGCCATCACCATGCTGCTGCCATCACCATGCTGCTGCCATCACCGTGCTGCTGCCATCACCATGCTGCTGCTATCACCATGCTGCTGCCATCACCATGCTGCTGCCATCACCATGCTGCTGCCATCACCATGCTGCTGCCATCACCGTGCTGCTGCCATCACCGTGCTGCTGCCATCACCATGCTGCTGCCATCACCATGCTGCTGCCATCACCGTGCTGCTGCCATCACCATGCTGCTGCTATCACCATGCTGCTGCCATCACCATGCTGCTGCCATCACCATGCTGCTGCCATCACCGTGCTGCTGCCATCACCGTGCTGCTGCCATCACCATGCTGCTGCCATCACCATGCTGCTGCCATCACCGTGCTGCTGCCATCACCATGCTGCTGCTATCACCATGCTGCTGCCATCACCATGCTGCTGCCATCACCATGCTGCTGCCATCACCGTGCTGCTGCCATCACCATGCTGCTGCCATCACCATGCTGCTGCCATCACCATGCTGCTGCCATCACCATGCTGCTGCCATCACCATGCTGCTGCCATCACCATGCTGCTGCCATCACCATGCTGCTGCCATCACCGTGCCATGCCGTGGATAACTGCTGCTCCCCCATCATGCACCATCCACGCTCTCCTCTCAAACCTCCACTGCCCTCCCCCCCCTTCCTCTCTCTCCTCCCTCCTGCCCCCTGTAGCCAGGGGGGTACCAGCCCAAAAACGCTTTCTTTGGTGTCTCAACCATCGTGTCATCTCCCTCTGTCTCCTCACTCCTGCCCCCTGTCTCCAGGCGGGTACCAGCCCAATAACGCGCGCATCGTTGCCGACTCACTCGCCAACCTATCAGTCAAGCAGCTGCTGCCGCTTCAAGGCCCACATGCTGCCTCGTGAATGACCCCCTGCGTAGGCCGATGCGGCCTGGCGGCAAGGTTTGGTGAAAGTTGGCGCACAGTGAGAATGCCACTGGTGGCTGGTAACGGCCAAAGAACGGTCGAGGTCGGGTGCACAGTGTTGTACCGTATGCGTTGGATGGAGACGGTTGCGAAGTAAGAAAATCAAGAATTCGTTACTGGTACATGCGCAGGTTCGTTATGACTTCGGGAATGCCTTTAATAACCATTCGGTTATTCCAACAACTTTTAACGGGGACATCTGCTGTGTACACTCAGAACGGACTGTACATATGGGTGTGGTTACCTTGCTTGAACATAACCTGTTTAGTGTGGTGAGGCTACTTTCTGTTATTTTATATGATGCATCCATAGTATCCACTAGTTACTTTGGCTTCTATGTTTGTTATCAGTTGCAAATGTTTTCACCGCGTACAACACTGTGTTCCCTGCAAAAATTGTCGTCTATGGATCTGACTTCACTGACAACACCGAGTCCTCGCCAACTTCACTAGGGCCAATTTCACCCCCCCCCTTGTCGTTACGTGGGTCGGTGGGGTTGGGTGCTGCGCGGGGGCATCCCCTGCAGACTCCCCTACATAAATGTTACGGTCAATTTCACCCCCCCGCCACTACAGACAAGACTGACCCCCTCGAGGGGGGCGTGAAATTGCCGAGGACTCGGTGTACAGGCTATCCTATCCCCTCGTAGACTGCTGTTCTGCAGGCATTTGAGAGAGTGCTGAGTGTTGACTTCCACTGCTTTTCCCGCAATTGCTGTTGTCACGTCACACTCGTTCTTCAATCTCGTTTTCAACAAAGGCTAGGCTTCGAGGTCACTTCATCTCGTTCTTTTTTCAACCTCTCCACCATAATCTCGCCGAAAGAAATGCAGTCAGCGACACATATTAACGACCTTCCCAACGACGTCCTCACTAGGATACTATGGCAGCTTAAGGAGTACACAACTTGGAATTCCGATAGTTACGCGCTATGGTCTCGCCTTTCATTGTGGCCGAAGCCTCAGTACCTTTCCTCGTCCTTCTAGACGAAGATTCCGATCCCGAGGAAGAGACGACTCCATTTTCGACTCCCTCTGCCGCTCCTAACACAGCCAAGATCTTCCTCATTTCGTCCGTGTGCCGTCGGCGCGATCATCTAGCTAAGCGTGATGTCTCCGCCCTCCGTATTGAACGAAATCATGTTATTTACCTCCAAGACCTCTCGAATGTCGTCTCTTGCTTCCCGAACCTCGCGCATCTCCATCTGTGCGACGGCAGCGTGGAAAACCTGGACGACACCTTCCTCGCTCACCTCGCATCGTCGTGTCCCAAACTGACGATTCTCCACGTGGGAAGACGGATCATGCAGCATCCGGACTACACCCTAATGCTCACTCAACCGCCCACTCTGAACACTCCCACTGCCACTCCATACGCCCAGTGGTCGACATTCACAGCCAACGGCCCGCTCGTTACTGGCCCACAACAAAACCAGGATATTCTTGACCTCGAATAAGTTGTTCGAGTTTCCCAGACAAAACACGCTTGGCTACCCACAATGATAGCGACTGTTCTACATTCAGTCCCATGTTGCCCCTAGAGAGCACGGGGAAAGATGGGGAACGGGACTGAAATAGGCATCAGGTGTATGTGGGATCGAAGCATGATCACCCTGCAACAGTGCGGCAGCCCACTGTTACAGTTTGGCAGCCGCACAGTGCCAACCATCGGCAAGTGGGAGGCTTCAAACTACCAAACCACGCAAGGCTGGGATTGGCCAGCCTCCCCTCCCAGCATTTGGGCGCCCACCTGAAGACACGCAGCCCAAACCACACCCTCGCGCGAAAATAACAAAACGCAGAAAAGTCAAGCTCCGACCCCTCGCCGACTTCGCCAACGGTGCCGACGAAATTACAGCCCCGTAACCAAGCTCGCCGTCCAATCCCGTACCGCAATAATTCTCTGAATTTCACGGCAGGTTCGTTTCAAAGGGTTGGGTTACCATTGAGAAATTCAGAGTGTCGCGACTTGGGAGTGCGACTCGATTTGTGAATGCATCCTATAAAATTGTGTGTGTGAAATTTGTTGAAGTTATATTGCAAATTCCAGAGAAGTCCAGAGAGCACTCTAAACTCGTTTCTCAAGCCTACTAAGGCTGCTACTTCCCTGCCAGCAACGTTTCACTGGTAATCAGAGCCTGGTTAATCGTCTCTCACGCTCCCGCCATATTCTAGACCCTATGGCTGGGCCGTCTGATATGACGCCGGAACTCTGGAACGAATTTGTGGCGAATATGCGCTGAGAGATCGAACGCGAGGTGCGTGACCGGATTCTCGGCGAACTCCAGGAACGTGGACTCCTAGGCACACAGGTGCCGGCGCCAGCACCTGCTGTGGTTTCTGCACGTCTGAAAGCACCTGAACCTGAGCCGTTTGTCCCTGGAAAAAGGGGACTTACCTGTGCGAAGGTGGCTTTTCTAAATGGAGGAGTACCTGTCCCTATGCAACGTGAACCAAGCTGAATGGGCTCGTCACGCTGGCATGATGCTGCAAAGAGCTGCTGCTACTTGGTGGCAGAGCTGCCACGCTGCGATTTCAACTTGGGAGGAATTTTTTGCATCTCACAGAGTGAGCTTCGAACCGGTCAACGCCATCGAGCGCGCACGTGACAACCTTGCTGAATTACGCCA